CCCCGGCTGCCCCAGGGCGCCACCAACACGGATCCGGTGGGATCCACCACCATCTCTTCTCCGGCGGGCAGCGCGGCATCAGCCCGACGCTCATCAAATGGTGAGCTCCACGACGCGCTACCGCCCGGTCTTCTCCATGGCGTGGGATCCCCATCCCCCCGGCGAGCTGTCCTACTTTCCCTCCCCTCCGGCAAGATCTCCTGCATGCAGTTCGGGCTTCCACCGCGTGCAGCTCGGCCGCCAGACTTGAAGTGCGTCGGGTCGCGCGATGCGGTTCGGCGGTGCATGGCCGTGCATTTCGCGACCACCACGGCCCCCCTCACTCTACCTCAATAGCCGCGTCCTCAACCAGCGGTGCCCTCCCCTCGTCGTCGGCCACGGCGCCGCAGCCACCGGGCTCGAGCATCCTGTCATCCCCATCGATTGTTTTTTTTTGCCTTTTCAGATTCCACTTGGGCACATCGCTGCTATTCTGTTGGGGCGTCAGTACGGTGCGGCTGGATGTCGCGATCGTGCTTGCAGTCCGGTGGCACAAGGCTCGTGGTCGGATGTGCAATGCAGTGCAGTGCTATTCACCCTTCCGCAATGCAGTTCGCCGGCAGATGTGTTGACCCATCGAAGATCAACTGCACCCCCTCCCCCGACGGTGCCATGCAGTCCAGTACGTGGGTGCACGCAGCACGCCCCACCGGTGCCGTGCAGTCCAAAGTGTGGGTGCAAGCAGCACACCACCCATTCCCAAGCCCATCTCTCTCCCTCCCCGCACACGCGCCAAGTGCTCTCTATTTCTCACAAGTCGCTACAATGGCGGACCAGAAGCTCGCCAAGCTGCGCGAGGCCGTCGCCTGACTCGGCCAGATCAGGTCGATCGCTCGCTCCCTCCCATTGTTGCGTGTCTTTATCTGTATGTCTGTCTTGCTTGATGGATCGCCTGCTTAATTTCTTGGTGTTGTGTTGCGTGCAGCAACAAGGAGAAGTCCGGATTCATCAGCCTTGTCTCCCGCTACCTCATGTAATTTCTTTGTGCGCATCAGAGATGGTTCTGCTCCCGTTCATCATCCATGGTGTAGATGTTGTTACTGCAATCTCGCGACGGGTGGGTTATCTTCATCCTCTCCAGTGAGTTCTACAACGAGCAGCTGCTATCGCTCAATATCCTCCCCCACAAAGTAGTGCGGCAGGGCGGCGCTTGCAGTGTGACACTCCCGGACGAGCAGCGAACCCACTGAACCTATCGAGTAGATGAGACGATGAATCCCTGCAGAAAATGGAAGGTCCCATCCATCAGTTCTTGCATATTTTTCATACATGCGAGGTTCAGATGGCCCTGGAGTGCAGCTCGGATGGGCTGTGCGATGGCCATGGTGTGCTTTTTTTTTTCTGTTGTCCCTGGTTGTGTTGTTTTGATTGGAGGAAATTTTATGTGTTTTGCACTGCTCTGAACGTGCATTCTTTCATGGACAGAATTGCAGTACAGTGCATAGTACGAAGGAGTTAACTTTGTAAAAAAATGTACAGAGGAGTTCACTTTCTATTATTTTTGGAGGATTTATTTTTGCAAATTTGTATGGACATCGATGTAGTTTATTAAGAAAACCTTGGAGGTGCACTTCACAAAACAAAAAAAGCGATGAAGTTCATGGTTGCTCCGATGCGTTACACATGCGATTTAGTTAAACTATATTTTGCAGGAGAAGATGAACACATGAAAAAATTGATGAAGCTCACTAACATTAACAATGTAGCTCACTAATATTGACCATGTAGTCTAGATGAATTTACAAAATAAAAATAAAAAGACAAAACAATTATGTAGCTCACTCCGACATAGGTTGTGGTTCACTTCCCTCGGCACCGCGATCCACTCTTTTTCATAATTTTTTTGAAAAAAAGACAAGAAAAACTCGAGAAAAATTACGTCTGATAAAAGAAATCATGCAGCTCGCTTGCCCGTCCGATGCAGTGCGGTTTTCTTTCCGAAACAGTGCGGTCGGCCGTATGATGTTGTTCATCTCGTAAGTGCAAAAAAATTGTTACGGAAGCGAAGAAAAGTAATGCGGTTCATTTCTTGGTAGTGTTGAGGTTCATTTACACCAGATGTGAAGTGCACTCTACTTTCTCGTCCTTGAAAAAATTACGTTTGAATAAAAGAAACCATGCAGTTCTCTTACCCGTATGATGCAGTGCGGCTTTTCATCCAAAGCAGTGCAGTTTTCAGTCGGATGAAGTACCCACGTTGATTTAGGTGTCGCGAAAAACAGAGTGTCCGCATTTCGGTAAAATCGAAATTCCTCTTAAACCGTAAAGAATTAGAGAGAGTGTTCTACATGAAAAAGTTGTGGCTCGTTGATATCATTCCAATGGCGTATTGTTTGAATCATTCTGACCAGCGGTTTGTAAAAAATTCGCGAAAAACGGCAGTTGTCTCTCGTCATTAGCCACACGATTTTCAAAATTAACTAAAAACCATAAAAAAATCTCAAAACCATTTCTACGTATGAAAGTTGCACCTTGTCCATAGCTTTCCAACGACATATTACACACCTCGTTTCGACAAACGGTTAAAAAACTAGAGCGAAAACAGTACCGAAAATTTGAATTTTTTGAAAAACAGAATCCCGCGATTTAGTAAATTTGAAACTGCTCTTAAACCGTAACAAATTAGAGAAAGAAATAGATATCAAAAAGATGCGCCTTGACGATATCTATCCAACGGTGTATCATTTGCTTCATTCCGACAAGCGGTTTAGAAACAAAATGTGAAAAAACGCTCGCTGCCACTCGTTGTGGGCCGCACCATTTTTAAAACTGCTCTTAAACTGTGAGGAATGTCGAAAAGTGTTCAACATGGTGAAGTTGCGCCTAATCCGTAGCTTTCCAACGGTATATTACACGCCTCGTTCCGATAAACAGTTAAAAAATTAGAGCAAAAACAGTACCGAAAAAACACTACGCGCAGTTTTTTCCGACACGAAGTTCACTAGTTTGTGTAATGCAGTGCTCTTGTTAAAGAAAGTGTAGTGCTCTCGCATTGAGCATGCAGTATGTAAGTGTTATCAGAATAACTATTCTGATAATATTATCAGAATAGACGGGTTGTATATATATACACCCCAGTAACGGCACATACAAAATATAGTAACATACTATGTAAAATATAGTATTTTTTGTAAAAATGTAGTAAATTACAAACTTGGGTGATAAAAATATATTTTCCGAATTACTACATTTTGTACACCATTTTACTAGATTTTGTATATAACTTTACTAGGGGGTGTAGAATAAGTTATTCTACACTCACGCTTAGAATAGTGTTACCCTATATATATACAGCTGGTCTATTCTGCTAATATTAGCAGAATAACTATTCTGATAACACTTTTGCATTGCATGCTTAATGCGAGGGCACTGCACTTTCAATAGCAGGGGTACTGCAATACAGAGACTGGTGAACTTCGTGTCGGAAAAAATCGCATGCGGTGTTTTTTTATACCTTTTTCGTTCTATTTTTTCAATCGTTTATTGGAACGAGGTGCGTAATATACCGTTTAGAAGCTATCGATTAGGCGCAACTTTGCCATGTTGAACACTTTCCGAGATTCCTCACGGTTTAAGAGCAGTTTTGAAAATGGTGCGGCGCATGATGAGTGGCAGAGAGCGTTTTTTCGCGTTTTTTTCTAGACCGCTCGTTGGAATGAAGCAAATGATAGACATTTGGAAAGATATCATCGAGGCGCATCTTTTTCATATCTATTATTTTCTCTAATTCCTTACGGTTTAAAAGCAGTTTTAAATTTAGTAAAACGCGGAATTCTGTTTTTTCGATTTTTTTGTAATTTTCGTATAGTTTTCGCTCCAGTTTTTGAACCGTTTGTCGAAACGAGGCATGTGATATGCCGATGGAAAGCTACGGACGAGGCGCAAGTTTTATATATTGAAATGATTTTGAGATTCCTTGCGGTTTTTAGTTAATTTTGAAAATCGTGTAGCTGGCGACAAGAGACAGCGACCATTTTTCACGAAATTTTTACAAACCGCTGGTCGAAATGATTCAAATGTTACGCCGCTGGAAAGATACCGCCGACACACAAATCTTTCATGTAGAACACTCTCTCTAATTCCTTACGGTTTAAGAGCAGTTTTAAAAATACGAAAACGCGGACACTCTGTTTTTCGTGACACCAAAATCGACAAGTGAACCGCATCAGACACATGGACACGCTGCTTCAGAATGAAAACCGCGCTGCATCGGACGGGCAAGTGAGCTACATGGTTCTTGTACTCTTTTTCTATTTTATTTTTATGAATGAGTTATTTTTTTATGAATGAGAGTGGACCGCAGAGATGAGGCCAAGTGAACCACATCAAGAGGGAAAGTAAAACACAACACGAGTCTAAGTGAAACGTTGAACCATATCATTTTTTGCCATTTTTTAAACTTCTTTTATAAATGCATCCGAGCTGCATGGTGTGAGCTAGTGAGCTTCATCTTTTTTGGTCTTTATTATATTTCTTTTTATTTACCCTATTTTTTGTTTTTTCTAATTTCCATTTGATTAACCTATTTGGACGAGGGAGGAGTGTAAACTGCATGTTGTTTATTCGAAAAGAGCCAAAGCGTACTTCATGAATTGGGAAACATCTTTTTATTATCAAAAGTGGACCGTGGAGTCCCTCGAAGTGCACTGCATTGTAGTTTTCTTTTTCTCCAGCTGTTTTGCCAAAGCGGGCAACTTTTGCAATTAACACAGTGAACCACATCAGACAGAAAACCGCACTGCTTTAGACTAAAAACGCACTGCATTAAGCAGGCAATTGAAACATAACATTTTTTGTATGTCCCATTGGGCGTAAGTCAACCGCTAACTACCGAAAGTGAGCAGTAACACTCCCAAAAGTGAACGGCATAACTTTTTGTTGTCAATGGGAATTGGGTAGTGTTTGTGCGTGAGTGAACTCCTAGAGTTCAAAGTATACTCACTATATCAAGCGAACCCCCACGCATATAAAAAGTGCACTGCATTTTTACTTTACTTTTTTAGCCATCATTTTTTATCAATACATTTTATTTCTTTCGTAATATGAACCTCAACAAGTTCTCTGAACTACGAGCACGGCCAGAGTAGACCGCATCACGCGGACTGCACAACTAATTGCAAAATTACAAGGGTGACGCACAAGTAAACTGCCCATACCAATAGAAATGTTGTTTTTTTCTATTTTTTCACTCATACGTCAGATGGAACGAACTTTATCTAAAAAAAGTGTACTTGTCCCGAAGGTTTCTTTCTATTTTTCTACAACTTCAGTTCAGTTCACTTACAATTAAAATAAACTTTCTTGAACCAAATAACAGAGCTTCTTTGCAAGCACATACGCACCACACCTTACAATATTTTACAATATGAAAAGGCATAAAATGGAGTGCTTTCATGTAGGCGCAGCAGAGGCATCTGACAAAACCAGGGAGCTGCAAGCAATGCGTTGATGAGCTGCACTTGCACACCGCACACACAAGGGGAGCTGCACACGCACGCGCACACGAGCTGCACGCCACGAGTCACTGCGGCCATGAACTGCACATGGATCAAAGTGACCCGCATCTAGCTGGTGGAGGACGCCGCAAACTACACATGGAAGGCACATGGGGAGGGAGCGCAGCGGTTGCTGCAGTTTTGAGGACCGCCGTGTGCAGCAGACAGATGTTCCGCTGCAAACGCGACGGGATGCCGCGGGTGAGCACTGAACCTCATCACACATGTCCCCTAGCTGCACGACCACGTTCGTTGGACTGCAATGAGGCAGAGGCGGCCTTATTGAATGGCAGTAGTCGACCTGTTCTTGCATGA